TAGGTGAGATGAATAGAGAACATAATCTAAGCAACTGTCATTCATTGTAGTCACATGGCTAGAATCACAGTGAAGATGAAACACATTGGAAAAAGCGAGACGAGAATTGTAGACATAGATATTAGACGGGTCAGGATTAAAATCACCAGTAACAAACAAAGCTTCATAAGATGCGGGTAGTTTTGATAACAAGAAACATTCTAAGAGAGAAAAATATTGAAGGGCTACTGCAATAAGATTCGAAGGAGGTCGATAGGTATTATAAACGAGAAATGTTTTTTTGTTTATAGTTACCGGGAGAAGAATGGACTCTGTTGAGCTATCAATACAAACAACTTTAGAGGGAAAAATATTGGAAACATAAACAAGAACTACCCCTCCTTGGCGATCACGATCTTTTCTGTACAAACAATATCCATTAAAAGAAATTTCCTGATCGCTAATGTCAGATGATAACCGCGTTTCTTGAAGACAAATTAAAAATGGTTTAGAAAGAGAAATGATATGTTTAAAAAGATCAAGGTTTCTACATAAGCTTTGTATGTTGCGATTAAAAATGGAGAAATGAGCAGGAGTCACAAGCTGACACAAGCTCGGTCACAAAGAGATGATCTAGTTTTACAGAGATTTTGAATCTCTGTAGAACAAGAAGAAAAGTTAACTGAAGAGTTAGCAAACTGAGGCGAAGAAGTACTAAATTGAGAGACATAGCAATGGAAGCCTTCAGAAGCAGACAAAAAGGTACAGGTATCAAAAGGCCCAACAGAGTCACTAAATATACCTCGAAAAATAGTTGTCAATCGAACGACTTAACTCACGGGTTCCTCCTTAAATGGATACCACCTTTGCATACTATCGATCTGTCATTATAGTTCACTTTAATAATATCAACACTATCAATAGACGTCAACAACCGATTATATTCAGTAATATCATTACTCACATGAACAACTGAAGATTTAGTACCACGAATAAGAAGAGGAGACGGTGTTGTTAATGCTAATGAAGATTAAGGATAGGATTTTTTGAATGACTGGACGAGTAATTTTGTTTTATTTATTGCAACACCAGGATCGTCATATTTTAAGTTAATTGTGCCAATATTCATAACAAAATGAGGACATGGTTGAAAATGTTTATCCTGTATAAATTCCGTCATTTGTTCTATAGTACAGCCGCTCTTTGTTCTGATTAAGAAACGGTACGGTTTGTTGTTTAGGTTGACTGCATCGGGTTCGAGATCTTGAGTGATACTAGACCCTGTTACAATGACCAAAACAGGCGGCGGATGGATAAACGTATTTTTTGTAGAGAGTAAATTAGAATTAGAGCTGGTACTACCAGATTTTTTACTTGAATTCATATCTGCTAAGGATGTAAGCGGTATTGGCGATGAGGTAACAACAGCAGCATACAAATTAGAGTTGTTAGACCTGGCAGCGGTATCATTAATATCATGATTGGATGATGTAATACTATCCGAAGAAGAAATTGACGAAGGACTACGATTGCTTTGTATTGTTGGTGATGAGCGAAACTTTTTAAATCGAGATTGTGTGGAACGATTGCTGACAAAAGCTTGTGACGAAGGTGCGCTTGATTGCGGAGAAAGATATGCTAAATCAAGTAAATTGGTCTTGGACTGGTATTGATGATATAATGTTCTGAGTAATAAGTCGTGCTGAGCGACGAGTGATTCAAACAGTGGATTGGCGACATCTAACGAAGTATTAGCGACAGAGTCCAACGAATCATCACAATTATCAACAGCTTCAATAAATTTCTCGATCAAACATAATAATTCATCCCGTGATAAATAGCGCAAATCAGATTTCTGGATGGAATTGAGGTAGGTATTTATGATCATGTTAGAAGATTTTGTCATTAGCTCACGAGGGAACATTCCCAGATGATCAGAGTTGAAACAGTAAATTTGGTGACAAATTCTTTTTATTTCTTATATATCACTCTTTTCTTCCTAGTCGTTGATCTCTTCGTATTGCCTCTAAAACAACCATTTACATGGGTAATGGTTCTTTTATCATGTTTAACAAATTTTTTAATTTCTCCATATATGTTAAATAATCCAAACCATCCAAAATATACACGGTTCAAATATTTACGTCAGTTGTTATTTGAAATAGTATATTCTACTTTTTTACCACTTTCTTTCTTCCAAGCTCACGAGGGAACATTCCCAGATGATAAGAGTCATTTACCGCTCACATTTTGCTCATAGATGGGCCTAATGATAGTATGAAAAAGCCTAAGAGGATTTGGGCCCATGTGGCGTGCTTTAAAAGTTATCTTCATTAGATCATTTATTGCTCAGATTAAAACAGTATGACATAAGTACAATAAATTAGAATTAACATATAGTTTATATACAAACTCATATAACAACCTATTGACCATATTAAGATCATTATTAAAAAATAAATTTCAATTCCATTAGTTATTTCTCGTGCAATTTTTCTTTTATGATTCAATATAACATTAAAATAGAGACTTATTGCAATAAGAAAGCCAAAATACCGATCAATTATTGGTACGATCCAAAATGTCGCTAAACAGATTGCATTTGTATAGATAAAATTTCTTTGTGTCTGTTGATTACTATTATTCAAATTGTTGAATAACCAATTAAACTTATGGATATTCCAATATGTGATAGCATAAAATATTCGTGTATACGAGTAATCATGTAATAATATAAAACATTTAGCAAAATTTAATTCAGAGAAATCATTTTCATTTAAATTGAATAAAATTTGTAATACTTGAAAGAATGTTCCAAAAAGAATGAGACAATTATATCCAGAAATAATCATACGTTTAAAACCACCAGCATATGGTGTTAACAATATAACTGATGGTATATGTGTAAAAAGTACA